TTCGTAGTCCCGCAATCCCTTACGTAGCGGGTTTCTATTGAAAATTTCTGAAACAATGCGCCAAAAATAACCGGCACTGAAATTTATTAAGAAATAATACAATTTTATGGTATTATACAAAATGTTATTAACCAACCAGGCATCGGAAGAAAGAAAGAAAATATATACTGTGAAGGAAGAAGATCAAGACGAGACGAGAAAAGAAAAAGACACCGGTATAGTCGTATATTGACTAAAAATAATATTTAAAAGAATAAAAAAGCTATATCAAACAGTTTCCAACATATGTTATTTGGCGCATACAAAAGAATCATAACAAACATACAAGAAGTAAATAACATACACAACATTATAAACATTGTATGGATACCAACGTGATACAATAATGTTACGTAATGAAATCTAGGTCCATCCTTGAAATACATGTATGTCACTTGTTTAGGGGGATGGGGGTTAACAAAGTGGTATGACACGGGCCATCCCCACTCTCCATGGGGGGTGAAAGTTGTCGCCTCGTGGCGAACCCCTTTGCCCCGGTATCGACTCCGAAGGCAACATCTCGCGGGTAACATAGGCATATAACTTAAAACTAACTAAGAATATAGACAAACAATATAAAAAAGTAAACTTACAATATAGAAAAATTAGCTTAACTTAAAAACTGCCGTACTTGAGTATAATTTTATTTCTATCCTCCAAATATATACAAAAAGTACTGAAATTGGTGTACCGTAATATAGCGAAGATGTATGCGTAAAACAATGTGATATTATATTATTTTTATAGTCGTACAATATGTAATTAATTGTTTGAAAAAAGTGATATATCATGATTAGAATAAATTTAATGGAAATAGATTTTAAAACTACATTATTATCTATTAAAAAATAAAGCGTTGCACATAGTAATAAATAACCTCATAACAATAAATGAATAAACGTTTACATATATAAACGTTTTTTAATGTAATGAGAACTTAAAAAATAAAAATACGAATAACAGCAACAGATATGAATTTATACATTGTACACTACACATAACTGTACGAGCATAGAGCCTTTGCCTTTCCCTATTTCATAAATAGAACAAAAAAAAAATTTTCAAGACCTGCGTCGGCCTCGAACGGTATTTTTCCAAGCAATTGTTTACATTCATTTTTAAGGTTTTGCCGGCATGGAAAGAGTTTGTGTGTAACTCTGCAACCTCTTGTTTTTTAGAACCATTAAAAATGATATATATCTATTTAAATTTTCTCCTATTTTTATGTAACTCCTGTTAGCAACTAAAAGTGTTGTTAGCAACTCTTGTAAAATATAGATAACTGAAACAAGGCTTTAGTTAGTTTTATACCTTAGTTACTAATTAATACCTTTAGTTACTAGTATTTTAGTAGCAAATAACACTGTTATTATCCTCTTTCTTCTCTTCCTCACTTCATTAATTAAATAAGAAATTATTATTTCCTTTAGACATGTACTGTAATTTATAATTTCATGGACACTAATTAGCGGTTATGTAGTGAGTAACTTGTACTAAAAAAATGTTTTTTTTTAGTAAATGTGTCGTGTGCCTTAAGACATATGACAATGTCATACTGTTTGTTGGTTTTATGAAAAAAAAAATCATAGCGTTGACAATACTATCTGATTACACAGATTGTGTACGTAGCAGTTTCCATGTTGATTGTCGCATGCCTAATTCTTGTTATTGTCTATTTATTTAGAACAACATTAATTTAAAAGAGCACCATGCGCGCTTGTTTCTTTTCCATTCTTCTTGTGATAAGTCCGCGTTCCCAATGAGTGGTAGAATAAAATGTATGACCAATATTCATCACATCATATATAACGCTACAGTGATGAGGTGATAACCACCGCGCTACATATACATCAATATGCAAGCTAAAACCTTGTAAGTTCACAACAAAACCAATCGTAGGTATATATGCCAGTTACTACGGGATAAGAACAATGGTGTTTACTACTGTAACAATGACTCACATTTCTTGTAATGTCTACAACTACGGTTTACATGAAGTCACGTGAGTCAAACGTGAATTGTATGTTGTCCTGAAACCGAAGACTCTAGTACAACAATATGATTTAAAAACTATACAATATTCATATATTATATAATAAGAATTATTGACGATCACGGTGGTGTAGCGGTTTAGCGTACCGCCTTATTTACGATGGTCGCGGATTCGATTCTCTCGAACTTCACTAACTCAAAAGAAATTGCAAAATCGACTTTAAGTACAAAGCATCAAAGTTTAAATTATTTTTCTTATAGGCCTACATGTTCCTTACCTCTCTAAATACAAAACGTGCTACTATAAAAAATCTAAAATAACTATAATTATATCAAATAAAATTGTTCTCCATAAGATAAGGCAACTATTATCAACATTTCACAATAATCAGATTTTCGTTAAACAAGTTTGTTTTAGAATTACATGGAACTAAAAAACTAGATTTTCGCAGGAACAATCTAAAACGGTGTGACAATTTGAAAAATCATGCAGGACACTAGATTAGAGAATAGCGAAAAAAAAAATACCTTTATATTTACTGTTAATAATAGAGTAAGCAGAGTAAAACGGAACGAAAATGCCAAAAGTTCTATTGAAAGTATTGTTATCGCGCTTGGGTGAGCGGAGACGCAAGGTCGCTGAAATTTAGGCCTTAGCTTAATTACAATCTACAGATTTTACTAACAGAAGAAGAAACGCCACTATACATCCTATGTGGTTGTAGCTCACTCATGCATAAACGGAATATCTTCTTTGGAAAGTATACACTCTATCCTGGGGAGATAAAAACCATCGCTTCTAAGAATATCCTTACATTCTTGTCCTTCACGGGTTTAAGCTGCCACCCTTGAAATAAGGCATGTAAAACAAATCTATGCAGGTCGCAGTGTTACAGGCACCTGACAATATCCCAAAATCCCCAATAAAAAAAAGGTCGCTGAATAGAGTTATAATGCATACTGAAGAATATCTACATCGTAATTTTATAGCGTGGACACATTTATAACTTAATGAAGTTTGTTCTACGGTTTATTCTATATGATGCATACATTGCGAAACTGTAATATGAACTCTCATAATAATAATTAATATTCTAATAGGTATGTACCTATTAGATCATAATTCGTTGCGTAATCTGAAAATCAATACATTCATAGTAGATATGACACGCGCCAGTAAATTACAACTTTGCAGTTATTCTTCTATAGGTTTATATTAAATTCTCATGTCACAGTGTTAGTTTCCATACTTCTCAGAAACAGTTTGATCAATTTTAATCACATTTTATATATTCGGTAGGTCTGAAAATAGATTCTTATCTATTTCTACTTTTACGTCTAAAAATTATTTTTGATGTAATTTTTATTTTTATTTTTAACGTTAATAAATACACACTGCTAAACTTTCACTCTTCTACCACTAACCTATATTTTTAATATATATTATCAATTATTAATTTATATGCAACATGTAAATTTCATGCTAATAGCTCCTCTTGTGATGAGACATCTTTCCGAATGAGCGGTAAAGATTAAAAAAATAAATATATACAAAAATGCTTAAATTTAAGTTAATAAAGGATTTCTATTTTATTTTCTTCTCTATTCTATGACAAACCAACGTTTGCCGGGTCATTATTATATATCTAGTTGGTGAAAATCGTTGTTTTTATTTTTCGTATGTATATAGGCTGCCAGTAACTGTCAACTTGCAACCAGTGTGGTCGCGAATCAGCAAATATAATTAAAACAACCGCTCCTATGACAGTGAAGATATTATACGTAGGTTATAACTGAAATCTTTGGGAGAGGTCAGCGTCCAACAGTGGAGTAAAAATAGATTCATGTTGTTTTTTTTCGAACTATGAAGTTCCAAAAAAAAACATCAGCCTATTCGAAAAATTAAGTTTAGGAGTGAGGTAACAACAGCATTAGAATACTTCATGATCATCATCGTACGAAAATATTATCTTATCTCTGGTACAACTAAACTCAATCCCCTTAAAGAGCATCTTCACCAACGTTCCAAACAAGACACCAGGAAAAAAAAGAAAATTATTTTTACTTCTTAATGAACGTTACGATGGACGCCAGATGATTTCTTCTACTTTTTTAATACACCACTGCACAGTGTATAGAATAAAGGCAGATAGAATCACTATTTAATTGATGTATTTAAAAAAAGAAAATTTTATAACAATGCAAATTTGTATTTTCAAAAATGCTGAATATAAATACATTCAAAATAACAGTTTACATGAAACACAAACTTTACAAACATGGATCTTAACAAAACGGTATGTGCCTACGTTTACAACGGCCTCTGCACTGATAGGAAGGGGAATGTTAGTAATTATTATTACTAACAATAACTATTGCTAGCAATGTACCATGTCAAACCTGACAACAGCGGAACAGCGTGGAGGTACGGTTGTACCTCCACGCTGTTCCCCTAGAAACCAACGTGATGAATTCCTCGCGAATTTAACATGATGTGCTAATTGACCTGACCATATGGTCATCTTATCATGCTCCAATGGTGCCCCTCGGACGAATATCTTTAGCGCAAGCAGGTGAATAACACTATCATCCCCTAAAAAAATTATATCGTAATGATTCATTAAAATATATAATAATAATAATATCAGGACAATTCACACAGCGCCATCTAGACCCAAGTTAAGCTAGCTAAAGCTTGTGTTATGGGTACCCGCAACTGATATAAATACATAGATATATTTTTTTATAAATACATAAATATTATATATAGAAAACACCCAGACCTATACAAACAATTATACTCATGAATGTTTGCATCGTGCGAGGAATCGAACCCGCGGCTGTCGGAAGTAAAGCGGTGTGCTAAACCAAAACCACTGTGGTCTAGCACCACCGAGGCCGTCAAAATATATATTATAAAATATATGGTAGTATATTTATAGTAATTTACGCACTCTAGACTACCGTACCGTTTTTCGTAGATTTCTCCTGCGTCTATGTACCAGAAAATCTGCAAGTAAGTTTTTGTCACTAAATCACTCACTATTATTAAAAACGTTCACTGTAAAGACGTAGTAACACGAGTCACTAACAACTAATAATTGGATTAAAGTATCGTATTTTACTAGGTAGATATGTATTCAATGTGTCGTAAAAGTAGTAATGAAGTTGATATAATACATATATGTGATTCTATATCCCAGCAAATGGCATTGAAATAAGTTCTAGGTTACGTCCGTCGCAGCATCGGCTTCTATAAATAGATCATAACACGGAAGTATTATGTACGATGCACTATCTGCACAATTGACGTTTATGTCAAGTCCAGCCTATTACATATGATGAGACAATAAAATAGCCTACAGTATTCACGACCTACCCCAGTATAGAATTACTTATGCAGTAACTAGAGACATTTATAATTATATTTCACCCAATTTAGATAATATTTTTTTAAATTATTGTCTCATGTCTTATTCTGATGTATATTATATTCGTTATTACTATAAAGTTTCATCAAAATTCGTTCAGTAGTTTTTACATGAACGTAAAAAGTAACAAATGTCCATCCATACTGACTACCTTTTGCGTTTATAAATATTAATATGAAAGTAAGATAGGTAGGTATGTATACCTACTGTTTAGTTCCATTTAAAAGACAAAAATAGGTATATTATAATGTGTTACTTTTGAAATCCAATTTGTAATTGAAAATCTTGTAGTTACATTTTATTTGCCAGGGACACTTTCAGTTTCAAACGGAAGGTTGTTTAAAACAGATCATAATTAAAAGTTTGCGAGCATGATGAACCATTTAACGAATTACAGATAAATTTTATTTCTAAAATAACATATTTATATAGACATAGTGATTACTTGCTTAATACGATATTCAATTTTATGTGTCTCTATGGTAATGTTGGTCCAAAAAAAATAATAGACCTATTAATTTGTCTATGAAATAAATAACCTATAATTTTACTCGCTTACATTTTCGATTTCAAAACTTATATTTTATACTTATTTAGAAATATAAAATTCGAGTTTTAACTATGAATAGCTTTAAAATTCTTAAATTCCCTCTAAGACAATGGCGATCATTTTCAAGATGGTAATATTTTCATTTCTTATAAATAATGTTCTTTAAAAAAAGAATGAAGATTTTTAGATACTTATATTTGGTTCTAGCGCAATATTACAACAAGAAGTGACGCAAGCAGCTGCTCCTCTCACTATACCGATACCCGAAGGTGTTGACAAACCCGTATCACCTAAAATCGAGAAGATAGTCGCTGATATCACAAACCTTAACCTTCTAGAAGTATCAGAACTAAGTCAAGTGTTAAAGAAACGCTTAAATCTACCTGATGCACCAGTTATGCCCGTTGGTGGTTTTGCAGTGGCCGCTCCTGCTCAAGAAGAAGAGGAGGCGGCACCTAAGACTGTTAAAACTAACTTCACTGTATGTATACTGTAGTTGCATTACCATGAATGTTATATAATAATTATCACCCATACATCTATAGATGTATATCATTTACATATCTATACATCTATATGAAGAAAATAATTAAAACTCCTCTCTCTACTGTAAGATTTGGATTGAACACTAAATGTAGTGTTTACTTACTCAGGGACTACTTTATGTTTTAGTATGTACACAATTTTAAGAAAGTCATAGCCCAGTAGTTTTTTATCTAAATTATATGCAAGAGATTGTGAGTTCAAGTCTGGGTGAGACAAAAACAATCAATTTATATTTCAGACTGATTCTCCAAAACTTTGTATTACATTTTATGTGATATTCTATTAGGATTATTAAAATTATATTTTTTTTATTACTATGAAAGAAAGCAATTATGATGCTTACCCCTATGGTTTTATCTCATATCTCCTCCTCATTTCTTATTAATATACTGTCAATGGAATAACTAGTAACTGGAGATTCAGATGTTTACCTACTTATTACTATTAAGTTTATTTCTACACTTCTGCTACTACCAATATAATTCAACTTTGATGCTAAACTTTTTTAACATTCCCAATCCTATGATAATTATAAATATTAATAAAATGCAATATATAATTTTATATGTATTTATGTATATAATAAAAATATCTTTTACTTTAAATGTGAGTTGATGGCATTAATCATTTCAGGTTAAAATGACCAAATTTGATGATAAACAAAAAGTAGCTCTAATCAAAGAAGTAAAAAGTCTTCTAGAAGGTTTCAACCTTGTGCAAGCTAAGAAGTTTGTGGAGAGTGTACCCACCATTGTTAAAGCAGATATATCCAAAGATGAGGCAGAGAAACTGAAGGAAGCCCTATCTAAAGTTGGAGCGGTCATAGAAATTGAATAAATAGTTCCTAGGTTTATTATTTTAATTGTAATTAGTATGTAAAATATTGTTTAGAAAATATAAATGAATATTAAACTCAATTTGTTTTATATTAGTTTTATTTATAACATTATACAATTCTGGTAATATTACCAATAACAAATAATTCAAATTCAAATTCTGGAACATTCTAGTAACATCTGTGTTATGAGTACTTGTGAGCAACCACACAATTAAGGATTGAATTAGGACTTATTTTTATATTGGTGTAGCTACACTAATATAAAAATAATACCAGAGTGGTGGTACATAGTACTTCATTATTTGACAAAACATTCCTATCACTATATCATGTAGTAAGAAGTTGGTTACAGTTGTTTATACTGAATTTTTTTTTTGCCTAGTAGAAGTATTACACTTGGTAGGAAGTATGTATGCATAGACGAGGACTCAATAGCTATAAATGTATGTATGATACAATGTTCAAAACGCCTCAAAGTAATTATAAAAATTCATAATATATCACATTATCGTCCACATAGAAAAAAGAATAAAACAACTACTCCTACTTATTTTGTTCTGTGATATTCTCTGTGAAATAAACTAAAGTCCTTGCAGATTTCTTCAATTATACATAAAATAATTGAAATCCATTGGATATAAATTTCTGAACAAAATAAACATAATAATATCTATAAAACTACACTTATAATGAACAGCAGGTCTACTCTAGTATTTTTTATTGAGTTAGGTGTTATTTTCAAAAGTCCGTTTCAATAATGGATTCTTGGTTAATTACTCTACGAGAGTATGTATGAGATCCCAATTATTTTCAAATGTAATTGAGACTAAACCAAATAAATTTGTAACAAAGTCAGATAGTTCTCTCATTGATCATAAATAGAAATAATATGTTAGAGTACAAAAAGTTCTCATTCCACTTTAATCCACTGTTATTGGATTGGAATTAGTTGCCAGAGTAGACCAATAGATTACGTAAGTACGTCGTTAATAACAATCTAATGTGTTAACATCCTCGCTGGTCTCATAAATACCCAGTATATCATCTAGTAATGAGGAGAGACTTCGAATACCATCTTTCCACTTCTTCTTTTTTTCAAGGATACCTTTGAAGTCCTTGCTATTAAGGAATGTTACGAATAAATGTGGCGACGCCGATTTTAACAGCTTTATTCTCGGCCTTCCCGGCATAGCAGGTTTGTTCTGTAAATTCATGTGTCTTTCGTAAATATTCGCCAGTAAACTAATATCATCCGATTGAATGATGGTATCTATCACATTATCTGCCCGCATAGTTGTATTGGGATCTGCAATATCCTCGTTCATATCATCGTCGTCTGGCACCTGGATATGGCACATTAATTCATCCACATTAAAAGGATCACCCTCACTAGGCTTTAACAGTTCAGGTACTTTGTGTTTGTTCAGAATCTCTAAAAGTTCCAGCGAATTTGCTAGTGATAACTCCATTATTTCAATTTCCGAGTCCTCATTTAGTAGTTTTACCAAAACAGTTAGGCAACCTATGTACGAAAGTTCGTCCAGTGCTCTGAACAGCCTCCTCTGTATTTCAGTTTCATTCAAGGTGACGATCTTACGAGTTTCCCTGGAGAATGTCACTGGCGGAAAAGTGCCATCTAGCATTCCCTGTTCGCTTAATATGGTTTGTATCACCATTTTCCAAAATTTCAGCACACTAATTTGAACTTCCCAATGGAAGTCACTTAAAGCTGCCGACACCATAAATTCGTAAAGTGTCTGTTTAAAATTAGTCGATATTTTGATATGTTGATATATTTCACAAAGGACATTGCATGCTTCTTTTCGTACTACCCCCTCGGAACTCGTACGCAGTATTGATAGCAGTTGCTCCTGTGAAATAAATTATTCTTAATAAATAGAGGATATTTAAGGATCGAAACGCGCACGTAGCACCTCTGGTGTGGCTTCCATAGAGTTTGGTACCCCTTTACTATCAGATGGTCCGTATGCTTGTTTCCCAAAAACGTAGTACAGAAAAAATAGAGTAAACAAAATGACTTCTTAAAAGTATTAATTACTTACATGTATATTAGGGTATTCTGATGTAAGTTGATCCCACAACATAGGTATCTTAGCAGCAGCTCCAATACATTTAAGAGCTGTTGCCTGGACATACCATTCATAGTCATTGAGAGCTATTGTTGCAGCCACATTTATCAGATTCGAGTCGTTAATCTGTTTTTGGAATGATGGGAACTCTGAAAAATTGAATATATAATTTATGTGACAAGATTCAAAATTAAAATACATTTACAATACATCAACTTGTTAAATAGATCCCTCTCAGTGTGTAAGTTTTCTTTTATTATATGATATAATGACACAATTGGGTTGACATGTTTAGTAACAAAAACACCAAATTCAATATATATAACTAATAAAAAAAAATATATATATAGCTTGTATAGTGATTAAGATAAAGATACAATCGATAATTTTTCTTAAAAATTTTATACTAAGTAAATATATTATTGTACTCACTAATATAGGCGAAGTCAGTACACACATACAAAAGTTCCAAAGCTGAATCTCGCACCTCCCAATGCATATCATGCATTTTCGTATAAATTAGCTGACCAATATCATGCAACGATGAGCCTGGCTTGGCCTCCATAAGTAAGGAGAGATTGGGTGGCAGAAACTTCTTCACAGTCAGCGTTATTATGTTTAATGCTGTAACAACAAACTGAAAACAGAATACTACCTTCAATATAATAAACAAATTTATATCTATTCCGTTTTAATATCTGATAGAGGACATTTTTTATTAGTCTGAACTTCAAAGACAATTTTTTCAGCACAATTTTTTTTTTCTTTTTAATTGTTGATAATGGTATGTTGCACCTGGTAGCGCAGGAGGCTATCAGATTACGCTGAAGGGGCTCTAATGGAGAATGATATAAGTTCACCCTACTTGAAGTCAGGTCAGATAGCCCATCAAGACAAATTTAACAGGATGGTTTCCAGGGGGAAAGACATTGTGGACACTCTGACATGGTACATCATCAGTCCACATTACTAGGAGAGATCCCTTGTATTGTGTGTAATTTATGTTATTCATAAATACAAGTACACAAAAGATTTGTGTTGACTTATCTTGAAATTAGTGGGACCTACTTCTTATCAACTTTATAAGGAGTGGAGAAGAGGGGGGAATTGTTAATAATGTGGCCTAATAACCTCATTGCTAGCAATTTACCATATCACATTGACTTCCATGTGGTGCCCCCTAGAAGACATTAGAAATTTATCATCTTAAAGCAGGCAGGAGCAACTTACCATTCTAATCAATAGAAAAAAACATGAAAATAAGTATAATAATATGCAAACCTTAAAGGGTAAGTCAGTCCTCTTCAGAATATTGTTAACAATAGTGTATAAACATATTATCTCTAAAGATTCATGCCAATTTATACTGTAATGTTTGACTAAAAACAACACAGCTTCCATGATGTAAGCCATTATTACAACTCTTTCTTGGTTTTCTCCATAACACTCTTCCTCTTTTAATTTGCATAAGTTTGTAGGGTCATAGTCTTTCAGTACAAAGAACAAAGCTTGAAACATTATGTTGGCTTGATCATCATTCAAATGGTTTTTCAGACATGTTAGTCTCTTTGCAGTTTGCGTAACTATATTAATAGTGTCCATATCCTCAATCAATTCCCTAAAGGCATATGCAGCTCTGGCCGTATGCTCGTTGGAAGTATTCAGAAGAGTTGCAATATATGTGTTTAAACTCTCGCTCATCATCTCTGAAATGTTTCTTCCCCTTGCTATGTAGACTAATAGAGGTGTTACAGAGATAATTAACATTTGATTCTGTAATTCTACCTTTAGGACATCACTCTGCCATACACATTTACGATTCTGCCACGTCGAACACCAGATTACATTGCAAGCAGTACAATAATCAAGTACAAGTTTGGCGTTTCGTCTCTTAATTAGAAACTGTAAAGTGTTGCAGTACATAACAGTAAGTTCTAGGAAATCTTCCTTATTGTAAACTACACCTTGCTCCAATGGTTTTGATGAAAATATTTTTGCTAGCATACACCAAAATATTATTCTTATTAACATTAAAGTTGTCTCCTCATTACGTATTCTATCAAAATATATTGACATATATTTAGTTAGACAAAACTCTGTCTCAAACATTTTCATTAATATATTACGATTTATTATGCGATTTTCCTCACTATAAACAGCTAACAGTATTTGCAGAATAGGATCTATGACTTTACAAATAACTTTTTCTTGTTCTCTTGTTACTGATTCTGGATTAATGAGGTCAAGTTCCTCCATAGGTTTCAGAAGGAAACTTATCACTTGATTTAAATTAGCTGCATCACCCATATCATTGAGTTTCCAAATAAACTTGGCGGCAAATTTATGCATAAGACGTACAACAAATACGGTTCTTCTTTCATTGCATAATGAAAGTATTTCTTTCCAAATACCTGATTCTAAGAGCCAAGAGATACCAGAATTATGTTTAACCATAGACGATGCTACCTCCAAGTAGGCTACTCGCAGGCTGGAATTCATAGTCGGTGATTGGATCTCTTTAAAGCCTTTGGCAATTATGTGACCTTGCTGTGAAAACATTTTGGAAAAATGGAGCTCCTGGTAGGAACCCTTGGCTAATAACCTTACAAGAAACACCTTGATGGTGATGTGATATGTTTCTGAATGACCTAATGCATCAGCTAACAAATCCGATAGTAGAGGCATTGAAGCAAGTTGTGATATTTCTGTAAAAAAATTTTCAACAACTATAAGTAAAAAACCCTTAGAAAATTTTTACAAAAATCTAAATTAATTTTGAGATCAACAAAATGGAGGCATTACTATATTATTAAAACAATAACAATAAGTACTTCTTATAAAGTGCAATTTTCTAAGAACACAAGATAATTATTAGGTTAGATTTAATTTTTAATATTCTAGAATTTCAACACATGAAGCAACTCTGGGTCTTCACCAATGATAATTGCTCTGGATGGAATCACCATAGGATTCCTCCATTCATAGACATGTCTAAACAAGGTAGCATTAAATTATAGGTATATTATATATTTAGTAAAATTCAAATTTCAAACAGTAAATGGAAATTTTATTTGAGAGAACATGTGGGCATTTAACAAAAGAACCTTATGGAAAATAATAAAAGGCAATTTAAGTAACTATTTCATTAACAATTTAATTTTCTTTTTGTCTTACTTGATACTTATCGTACTGACTTACCAGGATCTGTTTTTTCATGAAATTTGTTGAGGAAGGCATCGACGTAGTAATTATTCATAACATAATTTGGCTCTTGTATTTTTTTAAATAATAATTTAATTTTGTTTACAGTAGGTGTAAGTTCCATTTTGTAAGCTTGTCGTTTATCTCTGCTTAATAATAGCACTTACTCTTATAATAAAAAATAAATTTTTAAAAATACAATTGTAAGCTAGGTTATCATTATAAAAATTCACAGAAAAGGAAATTGAAGATGGTGTGCGTAGTATATTATTGTACCATGGTGAAGATCTATGGTAAAGATAAAGATAAATTACTACGTTTTAAACTAGGTATGTTTGATACTATGTTATCAGACTGTTATCAAAAACAACATTATTATAAAATACAAAACTTCAGAACATCAAATTTCAGGGTTGCCCGATGCTAACGTTTGTATTTGTAACCTAATTAGTTTATTTAGATTTTGTGGGAAAAAATACATGAAGATCCATTTTCAAAACCGATTGCTATAAAAACTTATTACAATTACAAACAATTCTTTGTGCTCTATAAATTTAAGCAATTATAATTGCACTTGGTAGATCCACGCATTAAAACAATCAAGTGGTTCAATAATTATGACTTATATTATTATTTCTTTTCGTTTTACCACAAATTACATTAATGTTTTATTACGTTTGTAATGTGATCTTTAAAATATTATAATCATTGGATCTTTTATATAAATTGGTTTTCATTTTATTACTTGATTGAATCTGTATTATTTGATATATGTAATCTGAGATAACGAGTGCCCGACTGAAGCGAACTGACAGCTTGACCTACTATTGTCATGTCAATATTGTCAATCAATGTCACTGATTGTTCTAGAACGAAACGAATTCTAATTTCATTTGTCAATTTTTCCAAAAACTTATATTACGCTATTGTAGTATAAAACTTCTTTAATAAGGGATAAATTCTTGAATTGTCCATAAATATATAAGTGTATTAGAAATGCCCCTCAGAGGAAGAAATCTTGTGAGTGTCATAACATTATATGTTCATATCCTATTTTTTTTATTGTACATTCCATTAACTAAAATTCATGTAGGTACGTAATATTTTTTTAACATTCACACTATTAAGTATATTAGTTGTCTATGCCACTTGTAAGGCATCTTATTTTGTGTACAAACTAACACCAAATAACTATAGCGTAATCAGTTATTTACCTTGTGCTATTGCAATGATTTTCAACTTTGCTTGCTTCAGCTGCAACACATTTTTGGCACATTTCCAACTGTAGTATCCTTGACTGTGTGAAATAATGATGGGAGATTAGTTTGATTGAATGCAAAAATGTTTTATGGTGTTGCTATGAGAATTGATATGATGGTGGTCTTCCACAGGACAGTTGAAGCCTGCCTGAAATAACAAGTGTACCTGAGTGTACCCTAACTGCCTGCTTTTGAGGTTAGTTTCCTTTTGAATGTTTTAATTTTTTGGTTTATTTTAGTTTACTGTAATTACTTGTTTTTTTTTCTTTTGTTCTTGTGTGCCAGTTTGTAATATAAATAATTTATACTCTAAACTTTATCACATGATGTGAATGACATGTTTATTTAAATTAATTTTCAAAGCCCTACAGTCAATAAAATAATTGGAACAATATAAGAAATATCCATTATGAAATTTAAAAATTAACTTTAATTTAATGTTTAATGTCATATATACAATGCCAGTGTGTGGAGTATAATTACTTAATCAAATATACTCAGATTGTGGTTAGAATTCATGTAATGGTATATGCAGCATATTGAATGATTGTTATTTGTATTACTATATGTTCCTATGTGTTATAATGATTTATAATTGTGTAATAGATTTTAATATTTAACAATTATTACTAGGACATTTCATTATTTACAATGCACACAAAAGCTTACAGAAATCAGTAAATTAAACAATATGTAAATATTTTATATAGTCTGTTTAATATTTATTATATATTATATATAATTTTATATCTCACTGATCATTGCTACTTTATCTGCATCACACCTTCCCCGTTTTTGCAATATTTGGTTCTATCTCAGCTCTAATATATAATCGTTTTATCGTGACATTATGTAGCCTTTCTCTATAAATTGGCTAACTACAACTACAAAAATGTTACTAATCAGATCAGTAATACTAGCGATGCCATAAACACCTAAGTTCACAAACTTTACCTCTTTATAATATTAGTATAATAATATAGCTATACTAATATTAAGATAGATATTCTGGCAGCCTTCTTAAGTAATATATTAGATTACTAGCTGTTACCAGTGACTTTGTCTGCTTTTTTGGGATAAAAGATAACCTATTATGTATATTTAGGATAGATCCTTAAGATACTATCCATCTTCAGTGTTTATTGCGCCTTAATGACAAATTTCGTTAACATCCTTACAACATCCTTACAATGATGATAAGTAGCAAATATACACAGTAGATATATATATAGACTAATAAAATCAGTATGTGCGAGTCATGCTGATAAGGGCAATAAGTTAAAAAAAAATTTGATGGGTAATGGTGACATAGTGAGGCAGGTATATTGCTTTTTGTAATATATGAAAATGAAATTATTTCTACTGATATAGACTTTGTAAAAAGTTGTCCATGTCTTCAGAAGTGTCAATACATGAGTACTACTCATACCACAGATGTCACATAATAATGTAATGGTATGTATATATGCAATGGTTATTATTCACCATCAGGTGCAGCTTGTTCGTAGTATTCCAAATACAATAACAGCTAGTTTGTTGGTAGCACTTTCAAAGTAAGGCCTATTGTGGACACACTCAATTTGTATAACCCACATATGTTAATTGTTAGGAATCTCGCGCGGGAGGCGTAATATTAACCTACTACTACAATTTCCTATATGTATCGTTCATCTATTCAGAAAATTATTCAAGCATAACTTTGATATCATGCGACCTATGCTGCAATAATTTTAAGTTCAAAATTGTATAAGCATCCCAACTTTCATTGTACATTTTTTTCGACCTATTCTAAAGCTATTGAGCGCAGCTGGCCTTTACAGCTTCACCGAACGGTAATGTCTATGCTTTATTCGATACATTTATCGCGAACTGTATGATCTGTATAATAAGGTGTTTTAACCCCAAGAGTGGATAGACTGGTACGGATATCGTTACCAACAGTATGAAAATGATCAGATATACCAGTAACGAAACCTAAAGTTTAGTATTAGAACAAATCCACCAGGATTTGTTGAAAACACGTACGTATTCTTTATATAAAACAGGCAATGATTGTATTGTGTTGCCAAAGTCGTAAAGTTTTTCGTCTCTGGTTTTTTAGTTATTTACATTAATGCAGAATGCTACCTACTATTATTTATGGCGACATATTCATGATGTCAATTGGCTCTTAAGGAACGAGACTAATTACCTTTCTGAAGCGTTACTTATCTAACCTTGAGTGATGTTTTTCTAAGAAGCCCAGGTAGTTATGCATATTACGCGACCAATTGTCTATGGATGTTTACTCGCATAACATAATTTTACACAAGGATAAACGACTACGATTTTACATCAACTATCAGTATGTATTTACATCAGGCTTCTTGATGTTCAATTAGAAATTACAAACAAAGTGAGGTGTTGCGGAATGTTTAACTCGCTTTCAATTTATTTTCGCTTATGACTAATGACAAAAAAAAGTAAATAGTAATCTTCTCGTAATTACAACGTTGTAAATTGTATAAAAAAATACATTACTTATCCTACGCCTTTGTGCCTAGCGCCTAAACCATTCGCTATGAAATTCTTGTTAACACTAATACATAGTGTCCCATAAGAAAGCGTTGTTAAAAATACGACAAATAACACTTATAAAAAATTAACTGTGCCCGCAGTTTTACCGTAAAATTTATAGCCTATGTATAAGTGTGATTCTGATGTATAAGCTATATTATTGTTAAACTTTCATTAAAGTCCGTTGAGTAGTTTTTGCCTGAAAGAGCAACAAAAATCCATCCATCCACATACAAACCTTCGCGTTTATAATATTTGTAAAATCATACATAGGTATAATAAATCAATGAAGCCAATATGAAAGATTTATTAGGAATATGTATAAGTAACCTGTGTACATAAATATTTAAGACAGACCCGGTGGTTTAGCCTCACGATAGATAGATAGTCCCGCGTTCGATTCCTCGCGCAGTAAAAACATTTATATTCATGATTATGCTGGTTTTTATTGGTCTGGCTGTTTCCTATGTATGTTATGTATGTATTTACTAAAAAATGTAGTTAAGTTATTCCTAACAGTAGTCTAATACCCATAACATAAGCTCTGCTAAGCTATGGTCTAGATAGCGCTGTGTGGGCCATATTATTTCCAACAAATATCACATATGACAAATACACAAACTTAATGACGAAATATACAGCATTGATTTAATAATTGTTTGTTTTTATTACTTTATTGTTCAATAAAAAACACTTAATATGAAAGGATACAAAGATTTTAAGAAATAAATTAAGAATAGCCTTCGATGCGTAAATTTATTATGAGTGTCTATAAAATAAAACATAATATAACTAATTAATCGAAGGTCCAGTTGAGGGTAAACGTTCTCGGGGTGGATCACCAACGTGATGGACTGACTATAAAATCGGCTACACAGCAGTCCATTGTACAATAGTCTCGTACAGCCAAAAATCGTACCAGAGCTCTGTCGGCAAGGAGGACTATGAAGAGATACCAATAAGTCTTTGATTCGTAAAATTGTGTGTCCAGAAAAATAAAATATAATATAATTTATTATTGAAGTTCAGATGAGGGCAAACGTTCACCAGGTAGATCACCAACGCGATGAACTGACTTTATACATAGCAATCTATTCTACAATAGTCTCGTACAGCCAAAAAATCGTACCAGATGGAAGAAAATAAAAGAGCTCTGTCGCCAAGAAGGACTATGAAGAGATACTATGACATACCAGACAGTCATGACCAAGTGTACGAATGAAGAAGAGATAAAATATAGATTACATTACTTCATTTGTATTCCCCCACTCAAACTGTATGTTACTACAAATTTAATGATAAAAATAATGACCTTTAGACAGATAAAGACTTGTTAACGCGGCCGAAGATGCAATAAGTGGTTCAATGTTTTTATTATATGATGTATTAATAGTGACACAGAAAAACCGACACAACGTCATCTAGATCCAAGAAATAAAAATAAAAATCAGAATATCTTTATTCATATAAGTCTATTACAGACTCTTATGTTATCTCAATTCTACTGTCAGTTCAGAATACTTTCGAGCTGAGAAGAAACTCAGCTTTTCAAATGAGCTTGTACAAGTTT